CTTCCACGCTGGAAAAAAACTGAGGGAAAAAAAGGGGGGTGGGGGAGGGGTGGGGGTAATTGAAGGTAAGGTAACTTCCAAAATTGTTACCCAAGGAGAATTGGGCTCCTAGTGTAAGGTGGTAAGGTGCTTAGGGAGCCATCGACATCATCATCGATGTCATTCTTATCATTATCATCAACATCCAAATTACCGCCATAACGCTGTTTCCTTGTCGCCGATGTAAACAACATAGTTAATTGCATGTGCCTTGGCATCTTGGAAACTGACATCTGCTGCAAATTATCACACCTTCCTTGTCACTGGAGATGTTCAATATGGCGGTTAGGCTGATATACTTTTCTAAGACGTAGCAAAATGTTTGTTTTTGGTTAATATAGTCGCTTCATTTTCCCTTTATGTGGACTGAAAGTATATAGTTCCGTCACCAAGCTACTGCGCAAAATGTCATTTTGAAGGATTTTCTAACTTACCCAGCGTGGTAGGTGTTATAGACTACAGACTCCGGAAATGGCGTGGACTTGTTGTTAACGAACTCGTGGCACCTTATGCCATTAATTGCGTGTGTAAATACTATTTTGTTATATCTACAACTTACACCGATGATGAACTGCAGTTCCAGTGCTGGAATATTGGTGCTGGTGTGTCTGACGGCTGCCCAATGCATTTAATGTGTATGTATGCTAATTAATATTTAAACAAGGCACAGCGGTGGACATGTTTGTGTGGTTGCTATTGTCACATACATAAACAACGATGGTATCCTTCCACAGCTCTCAAATTGAAAATGCTATACCTGAGAAACCTCATCCGTTGTACTTCATCGTCAGCCTAGCTAGGTACAATAGCAGATACGGACACACCCATAGCTGTTAACTGTAGTTTCGTGATGGATACAAAATGAGTTTGACGATAGTTTCTTTACATTACTGATAATGGTAATAGTAATTACTTGACGGGTAAAAGATAAGGCTAATAGTAATAACTTGACGAGTAAAAGAGAAGTTTAACTGTAATCACTTGAGGGGTAAAAGAAAAGTTAAACGGTATTCACTTTGACGGGTAAAACACAAGGTTACTGGTAATCACGTCATGTGTAAAATATAAGGTTAACGGTTATTACTTGATGGGTAAAACACTAGGTTAACGGCAATCCCTTGACACGTAAAACACAAGGTAGTAATCACTTAACTTGTAAAAGATAAGGTAACGATAGTTTCCCAGGAAATATTATATTTGCGTATTGGTTGCTTTTTAATGTGTAACATACAAATTTAACGGTAACTTTGCAAGACTATAAGATTTTAAAAACAAAATTGCCTGCTGTCTCCCCAAAGAATTTTGGCAACGTTGTACCCACTGCTGTTTTTAGAAATATTACGCGCTGTACGCCAAATGTCTTACACGGTGCTAGGTACCGTTGTAGGAAATCCACTAGAATTGTTTGTTTCAGTCAACCGCCCTGGACAGAGATCAAACCATAGAACTCGGTCGGCACGAAATTGTTACACTTATTCATTAAACCTCTAGGCCAGAAGAGAGCAGAACATAAGTTTCGGTTATGGTAGTTTTTTGAGGAGTAACGTGTATTGTTAACTGAAGTCGTTTAGGTGGTTAAAGATAATCTTAACAGTAGTTTCTTGAGGAGTAACATTATAGTTAACTGCAGTATGTTAGCTGGTTGAAGATAATGTTAACAATAGTTTCTTGAGAAGTAACATGAATGGTTAACTGCAGTATATTAGCTGGTTAAAGATAATGTTAACAGTAGTTTCTTGAGAAGTAACATGAATGGTTAACTGCAGTCTCTTAGCTGGTTAAAGATAATGTTAAAAGTAGTTTCTTGAAAGTTAAATGCAAAGATTGACTATCATTATCATACACCTCTTTTGCCTTAGCACCTTGGCGGTGAACAAATAAACTTCCTTAAATATTGTCGATCCATGTTTTTCGTGGTCGTCCTCTTGACCCTGTAGCTGATCTTCTGAGATGTAGTACCTGTGATGATATTTGATGTTGCTGCATTAAAACAAGATGACCAATGCCTTTGATCTGCTGTTTTTCTTATCCCTGTTTGATGTTCACATGTTATCCCATCGAGAACATATGTATAAAACCTACTTTCATAAACAGTTTGTAGGAATATACGCAGGGGAAACTTTAGCCTGATTTAGAGCTGAAGGGTAACTTCAGCTCTAAATCCTCATGCTGAAGTTCCCCCTGCGCCACACCCTAATTGTGGTAAATAAGGCAAAAACGCCCTTTTCATTCCTGCAGGTGTATATAGTAAAGTAAATAGGTAGAGGACCTGTTTCCATGCCCTAAGGCTACTGGGCATATAGGGCTAGATCTAAAAGGCAATTGAACAATCAGTACTTGGTTGATTATGTAGTCAGCATCACGCCGGCCGCCTTTTCTTCACAGGACTGTATCTGGTACCCACTCAAGGCTGGGTAGACCTGGAAGTAAAGGTCATATTTTTTGGAAAACCCCGGTTTCGCGATGAGCCGAACCCACGACTTCCCGATCCGCAGGCAAGTGTCTAGCCGCTGCACCATGGCAACCCCAAGGCCATCTAAAGTGCTAGCACTGTATTTTATAGACCAATGGGCACTCGGTTAATAATATGGTCAGCATCACTCTCCGGAGTTTATCTGGTACCCATTCAAGGTTAGCTGGACCTGCGAAAGAAGGTAATTTAATTAAAAAAAGGTTTAGCTCCATTCGGATTTGAACCCAAGGCCTTCGGATACGCAGGCGAGCGTCTAGTCGGTGCAACGTAACGGCTCCTGAATGTGATAAATGCAGGTAAGTAAAAGGACCATTCCCCACGCCTTCAGACTTGTTGTGCATATAGGACTAAAAATATATTGTATAGACCAATCGGCACTTGGTGGGTGATATGGTCAGCACGACACATGCCGCCTTTACTTCTCAGAACTGCACCAGGTACCCACTCAAGGCTGGACCCACCTGGGTCATTTTGAAAAAAAAATCCGTCTTCGTCAGGACTCGAACCCAAGCCAGGCGAGTATCTATACGCTACGCAACGGCGACTCCAGAATGTAGTGTATGCAGGTTGTAAATATAATTGTTTACCAAATTCAGTTAAAAAACATTAACTTTTCCATTTACCCTTTGTTTCAGAGTTTTAACTTCAAATCTACTTGAACTAGAAGAGATGGAAACATCAGACGAACAAAGGAAGAATCCATCCAGCAAAAACGTGGAAGACCACAACAGTATACTAAATCCACACCTAGGCCAGACACAGACCCACTCGTCTTTCTCGGAGACTGCTCCTGCTCCTTCAGCTTCTGCGTCTCCATCTGCCGAATCTCATGCCAGCACCTCCTCGGGTGCTGCTTTTAATTCAGCGGGCACCATTACGAAAAACAGAAATAAACAGGAGTCCCAAACGTGTGAGGTTACGGAAGCAAGTTGTGCTTTAGAGGATTCAAACTACCCGGAGGAAAAACAGAAAATGCTTGATCAACCTTTGGCAGATTCACCCAAATCTCATAAAACCGTGATAATTAAGAAAGTAGACTGTACCGTTGAAGGGGTGCCAGCTGAGGTAAAACCGGAATTGCTCTCTATTCCGCAAACAAATTTTGCTATCGGGGTACTAGTCATGTGCTGCTTCAACCCCCCGTTTGGACTTTTAGCTCTGTACTTTTCCCTGAGATCGGCAGCGGCGTATCGTGACGGGGACAAAACTAAAGGAGCTTGGTTTGCGCGTACATCCATAGTGGTCAGTTTGTTAGGGATCATGCTGACCATGGTCATCATCACTAGTGTGGTCCTATATATTGCTGTCAATAAAAACAACGCTAGGAAAGCCAGCCGAAGAGCCAGCTCTAATACCCTTGGATTCTAGTGGTCTGGGGTCACAACGATATGTTCTGGATCTTTTCGTCCGTTTGTTCAGCTGTGTCATCAAATCACACCTATTCTTTCAAGATTGTAGTGTCGAGGCGGGACTTCCGTCAACTTAGGGCAAAGTAATGCCAAGAATATCAACGAGTAACCAGCACACGTATAAAATCAACCTCGTTTTCATTCAAAATCTTCAGTATGTTGATGCCGATATTTATTTTTATTCATCTAAATTATTCACAAATTAACAGTTTTTAAACACCGTTCTTATTAAAATTCTTTGACAATTTGATAAATGATTTATAACGATTAACTATTAATTAATACATTACAGTAAAGTAATGCTAGACATATTAAAACAACTATAGAGGTCATCAAATATTAACGTTTTCAATAATTGTTTTTTTGAGAGTACAGAAATCATCATCATCATCATGTAGCAGGTCCTTTGCAGAACGTCGCTCTCATCACAGTCTGCCTAAATGAAACTTGGTCTCTCGCCAGTTCTCCCGCCTCATGCACTTTCACACTCAAGAAGTCACTTATATCATGTGCCCATCTTCGTGTCGGTCGGCCCCTGCCCCTCCTTCCTGGCACTATGTCTTCTGCTATAATTTTTTCCAATCCGTCGTGGCGCTTGATATGACCAAAATATTTCAGATTTCGAGAAAGGATGCTGTTTATTAGCCAATCTTCCTTGATGTTCAGATCTTTTAACATGTCAATATTTCTCATCTTCTTTGTCCAAGATATTCTGAGAATCTTTCTATAGTATTTCAGCTCAAAAGCCCCTATTCTCTTTCTTAAGGACTGAGAGATAGTCCACGACTCACATCCGTATGTTGCCACAGGGAAGATGCATGCTTTCAAAATTCTAATTTTTATCTCCTTGCTGGTGCTTAACCATAAACTTTTAAGGCTGTTCAATCATTGCATTGCTATCGCCATCCTCCTTTTAATTTCTGTCGAACAGTCTCCATTGTTGTTTATTATAGAGCCTAGATATTCAAAGTTTGTGAATTTTTCAATTTCTTCATCATTTATTGTTATTTTTGGGTGACAGCCAGTTTTATCTGTGGACATTATTTTCGTTTTCTTTGAATTCAGGAACAGATTTTGATCTTTACTGTGCTTTTGGACAGACAATATTACATTTTCTAGTCCCTTTACGCTGTTCGAAAGGAGGACTTTGTCATCTGCATAGCAGAGTTCCGGAATAGGGTTGCAGAAGTAGAAGAGTACAGAAATTGGATGCAATAATAACTAAAATTATTCTACCAATAAGGAAACATAAAAAGCGAAGTTTTAGGAAAGGAATGAGTAGTTTCAATGAGACCCATCTACCGTTTCTTCTTCATACACATACATGCTGACAACTCCAAGGCTGTTGTGCCAAAGAGATGTGGGTCAAAATTGTTTTGAAATGCTTTGGACGTATTGGAATTGGACAGAGCAAGTTTTCATTCGTAATTAACTTTTTCTATGTCACTGACATTTATCTGACAATTTGAATATTGCATTCTTACACAACACAAGTAATAGGCAAGTAATCCTTATATTAAAAGCTTTGAAGCACAGTCAACACCCTTTACCCAAGAAAAAAAAAAGCAATATTTTCCCATTTAAATTCATGATAAATAAATAACGATATTAGGCAATATGTGAAATGTCTATACAAAAGCTATAAAATTGCTCGAAAACTCTTTACGACACCTATAAAATTATGTGAAAACTGCTGCGTAATACCTATACAATTATGTGAAAGCTGCTTTACAATGCCTATACATTATGTGAAAGCTGCAGGGACTTTTTATTTAGTTATTTATTGACCTGATTTCTACCGTTGGTACATTTACAAGGGGAAGTACAGATGCACTGAAAGAAATGGAGTCAGGGAGACATGAATAATTGTTGCCAGAATAAGCCAGTCTGAAAGCCAGTCTACGTTATTTGGACTTTTTGTGACAGGGGAAACTATTACAGCACATATTGACAACGGGAAATCTTACGTGAAGAGTGGAAAAAGGAGATCAAGAAACATGTAATTATACCGTCTGACATAATGACATCGATAATCACCTGTACTGATTAACAGTACACTACATGGAGAAAAAACAATTCCAAACATTTTGACCAAGGTGTTTTTTTCAGTGACCGAAACCCATACAACAGAAATGCTCTTCTGAATATTGAAATATTATACCGACTCAAGCAAGACACAAGTGATTGGAAAGTGACTAGCACACACATTCTAATCTTGCTTGTGAGAGGGACTTCTTTAGGAACAGGAAGGTCTGGTCGAAAGCGAGCCTTTTTCTATTTTTTTAAATTTAGTATCCAGAAGCCATGAGTTGTTAACCCTTAGGCTCTGTATTATGGATATCGCAACCCTTCCGCCTTGATTCCATGATAAATTCCATACATCTGGGAGAAATGTGGCTTTTCTGCCTACCCCGGGCGTGAACCCGGACCACAAGGAGTTTGCGCAATCCGGTTTAGCCAACTACGATAGCGAGCCGGGCCTTTTTCTATATAAAATATGTATTCCGCAACCAAACTTCTCATTCGAGACCGGAGGTTTCATTATGGGTAGAATACCAACTGATACTGTATGCGTGTAACAATCATTCGAACAAAGTCAACGATATTTTAGCACTGTTGTATCAGCCTATCTGATAGGCGAATGCACAATATTTATATGTTACTGAAGTTACTTCTCATATATCTTGGTTTATTTTTATTACAATCATACCCCATGCTGATCAGCATGGGCGATCATCATCTGCTGTTCACTAGTTTCCTCAGAACACCTGACCGTATATGTGATTTTTTTCTAAACTAACAATTTTATTTAGCCGGACCTTCTAGGTATTACCTTTTCGCATTCTTGCTGACATTGTTCATCAGGTTTAGAATTGTAATATACCAGGAATGAGTGTTAGTTTTCCTTTGGTCTGTCTGTCTACGATTGAGTCTATATGTAAAGAGACGAACCCTAGAAGTTTCATGGGGGAAAGTTTATAGCATAGTTGTGAGATTTTTCGAAGCGTTAGTTTATTACAGGTAAAAGTCGAGTGGAGCGACTTCAATGCACCGGATTTTATCCCATAACACATCACACCTCGCACCTCTTTGGTAGTTAAGAGTTGCGCCTCTGCCATTATTTAAAGGAACCTACACTTTTGCATGAATCCTGTCCCTTCCATTTACAGTTGGTCTTCGAGGCGAGGTGATCAAGCTGTTTGCACCGCACTCTCAAGGGCTTAGGTTCGTTTCACATCTGCTTCTTTCCTTTCACGAGTGCAGTTTTTACCCCTGGGGATCGTCACCCCAGCTCCTGAGTGCGTGCTTTGTGCGAAGCTTTCAACAGGCGGCCAGTCGTCTGCGGAGGGAAACAGAAGAAACCCGGTGCAGTGAAGTCGATCCTCTCAAATTTAACCTTTAACCTTATCATCTACCATTGCTTTATTATAATCATTGCCTCGAGTCTTCCATTATCTGTATGTGATGCACATAATTATGTAAGCAATAGTTCCACGCCCAATTTTACCTGCTATTAAATAATAAAAGTATTTTAATGAACGCAATAATTATTTATTGAAGAATAAATTTACATTAGTTAACCACTAGCTTGTGTTTTGTTTTGTTAAATTCGTTTTGTACGATATCTGCAGCAGGCACAGGAGAGAGTGTGCAATGATATAGGGAGTGCAACGATGGATCTTTATACTCTCTCGCTCTGTTCCTTCCGTCCATCTGTCCATCACACTATTTGTTTACATATCTGTCACATGTTTTCAAGACAAAATATAACTGCTATATGGTGGTTGCAAAGGTTGAAGACTGGTGCTTGGTTGAAACATATTTTTTTTGTGGGGGGGGGGGGAGGGAAAGAAAGAGGGGGGGGGGGGTGGATAAATTTAGTTTAGTTCTTTCACTACAGTTTACTTCACATAAATGAATTTTAAAAATGTGCAGTGCAGAAATTACAGTTTAATAAAGTACAGTAAGTACAGTGCAGTAAATACAGTACAGTAAGTACAGTACAGTAAGTACATTACAGTATGTACAGTACATTAAGTACAGTGTAATAAGTACAGTACAGTAAATACAGTGCAGTAAGTACAGTGCAGTAAGTACAGTACAGTAAGTACAGTAGGTACAGTGTAGTAAGTACATTAAGTACAGTGTAGTGAGTACAGTGCAGTAAGTACAGTACAGTAAGTACAGTGCAGTAAGTACAGTACAGTAAGTACAGTACAGTAAGTACAGTACAGTAAGTACAGTGCAGTAAGTGGAGTACAGTAAGTACAGTAGGTACAGTGTAGTAAGTACATTAAGTACAGTGCAGTAAGTACAGTACAGTAAGTACAGTACAGTAAGTACAGTACAGTAAGTACAGTACAGTAAGTACAGTACAGTAAGTGTCGCATGACAGCATCCACACATCTGCCACAGCAGGAAGGTCCATATAGCTGACCACCCTAAACTCGTCATCGTAACTATGTAATAGAATAGGCCAAGCATAGTTAGATAGTTCGTTTGTTGTGGGGGAGTCCTGATAGGAAAAATCCATATAAAACCCTTTGATAATGACTCTTTTAGGCTTTGAGTGTCGAATTAAATGTTAGGACGCCTTTTCTACGCCTATTCTAAATAAATTGTCTGACCACTGCACTGCATTAGTGAGCGCGATTCGTACGCTAACTGCTGTTGTTAGGGGACGTGTTTGTGTGCGTCACTCTCTACAGTCCGGTCTTGGAGGCAGGCGTTTTTCCTTGTGTCTCGCCAATTGACCGTTATACAGACAAGATTCCTTGTTCTCTTTTTTATTTACAATGGGTGAGTTTTCTTAAGGACTTTTTAATTGATTATTTGAGTTCATAGTGTCTGTGATGTAGGTAAGTAAGGTCAGCAGCTGGATAATGCGAATCTGTTTTCCTACGATTCTTGCCAAGGAAGGTGGCGAAAGGAGCTCCAGATCGGAATGCACTTTCGGTT